TTACCTGGACCATGGCTCCAAAAGATGCCAATGTGGACACACTGGCATCAAAGACTTCGGGGTACAGTCAAAAATGCGGGCCAAAATGGCGGTCCTATGGATCCGCGTTGGCTTGCCTCCCGAAAAAGCCAAGAAAACTTCATGATCTTGTTTAGTTGGAGCAGTTTAAGGAAGGCAGTAAGTTCGGGGGAAGTTGGCTGGTTGAGGTTGATTTATACGCAACTATCCCGCACTCCCTCCCCCCCTCCCCCCCAAACTGCTCCTGCGGCGACGACAATTGTGTTTTACATCAGAATATCAAGAATACGAAGGCCATTCCTATCAGGATTATGACATACTGACGCGACAATAATGCGCGTGCTTGAATCCTCATCAGATTTGACCTCATGGGTGCGCGGGTGTCAGGAGAAGACCCAGCTATTCTGGGAGCAGAAGCCGAAGCAGATGTGGAAAAACATGAACCGCAAGGTCCAGGTGAACCTCAAGGTCCAGGTGCGGCCTTGTTTGGCCAGGGTTGGAGGAAAAGGGTTCTAGGCTTCACATTGCTAGGTTGTAGGATTCAAGGTTCAGGTTCTGAGTGCTCAGGGTTTGAGACTGTGGGCTTAATGGGATGTCAGCCTCTTTGGTTCCGTCAGATCCTTGATGGTTGCTACCGTGGGACAGGGCCATGTTTATTGGGGCTGCGCGCCCTGTACAGCAGCAAGAAGCTACCGCTCCGTGGGATCCAAGCAGATTTGGGGAGGCCTTGCAACAACATTCAGGCACAAGCAGCTTCAGCACATTGTTTTGCACAGCCTACTGGCAGACCCTTTTTAAGGTACTTTTGAAACGAGCTTCACGGACTGCTCAAACGAAATCTTGCAGTGACAGTCCCACGTCCAAGTTTCATACAAGTTTGTGTTGCACCGTGTTGACAAGCAGATTGCCTTGCAACGTGCCACTAGGAAGCCCACATGATCATATTTCTGGCCGCTTGATAGGCATTGAGGATTGTCACAGACGCACAGCATTGCTAACGTCAGGAAGTTCTCCAGGCAGGGTTTGAAAGCTTGTCTTTGTGGGTTCCGTGGTTGAGTGGCAAGTTTATGAAAGCTTGAAGGTAGAGCTCATGGTGACAACAGTCTTCGCAACTTGCCCCCGAGAGCACCTCAGCCCAACCCCGTCAACCAAAACCGTGTCAGAATCCAGCAGTGCTGCCTCAACTCGACACCCCGAAGTCTGACATTCTGAGCAACTAGAAACCTGCACCTTCAGGAAACTGAGTCCCAGCAGCCCGGCCGCACGAACGTATTTCTTGCACTTTCGGGTGACTCAGCCATCGCCTGCTTGTCTGGGTAAAGTTTATACAGGGTTTATATCTTTGATTCTCCCCTTCAGCAAGCTGAGTTTGCTCACGTGGTAGTCATGGTGGAATGCAAGGAAGGCAAGCTTTTGTCAGGAGCACATTTCTGTAGCTTGACCGGCTCCTTGAAACTTTGCCGGACATGTTCTCTGAAAGTTTTCGAGTGGCCTTCAGGCCCAGGGCCCTAAATGGGTTTGGGCTTCTTGGTGCAACAAACATCCTGGACAATGAGCATGCGCTGATGTGATATGTCAAGCTACTATAAGGCCCGGCAAGCTACAGCCCCAGACGTTTTGCGACCCCCAGCCCCCGATCACAAGCCACAAACTCCATATAAGGCGACGGGATGAGAGAACTAAATCGGTCTTGTTCTGGATGCAGGCAGAAGCAACCAGTTGCATCTGGGTCTAACAAGTCTAAGTCTTGGGGCTTAGGAGGCTTCTTTTCTACAAGCTTGCGGTCACTTTGAGAAAGGTGACGCAACTTGCTTTAGACTTACATGCGCAGAGAAATTTCTTTAACTCTGCTTCAGACCTGTGGGAAGATTTCTTAAAGCATTGAAGTAGTAGAGCACTGGCTCCTGCTATCTTTGGGGTCCTAGTTACCGTCGACAGGGCTTACTACGGGTCATATAGTTTTTTGACCCACTGTAAGACGGTAAGTGAGGCCACCTGATGTATGCGTCATTTCCCTTGTGCGTCGTGAACCCTTGATCCTTGGAGGAAAGTCGTCATTGTTAATAACGCTTGCAATGGGCCCTACAGTCTGTGATTTTTTTTTTTCAAAATTAGGGCTACCCACGGGTCCTAGTGTTTGGGGGTCGATAATGGGGTCCCTCTACTTTGGGAAATTACCAAATTACCTACATGGGGCTATTTGGATCCCCAGAGGATTGCGGGGCAAGTTTTAGCCATACCTCGCCTGACCTCAGCCCAACTGGCGTCTTCTTTTATGCTTTTGGGGAAGTCATCTACATCGGCCAGAAGTGTTGCGGGTCTCCTGCGTTTCGTGGGAGGGCTCCCTTGCCAGGGTATATATTGCGCGGAAGGTGCCGTACTGTAGATAAGCTTTTTGTTGATGGTTGTGGGGATGAACATGGATGATCGGACCTATCGGTGAAGCCAGGAATTTCTCAGGATCACTCCTGAAAATGGCGACCTCCTAGTTGAATCAAGCAACAGCTTTGCCTCGCTGGGCTTCCAGACCCGGTGGCCATGTACGGTAGACAGCTGAGGTTAAGGGTCTGTGGTTCATGCCAGATTGTTACTACAGCAAGAACCTGCTATTGGTCATGATTGGCCAGCACCGGGGGGAAATTGCGGGGAGGTGACAACGAAGAAACGACTTCGAGTGCAAAGCTCGAGGCCATGGGAGGCTTCGAGACTGTTCTGAGAGTTTTGTTCTCATGTAAGTGTAATACTTGCTGCCTGCCAAGCAGAGAGAAGGACTGGACAAGCATGCAAACTACACTGCTTACTACCAACTAAAAAGATGATAGAGCGGTTGACTAGTGCCAGCCTACTACCCAAACCCCAACAGAGGTGCAACGAAGGGTTACTTGAAGATGGCTTGGGCCATCCTGGCACATTGCATGTTAGATATAACGTAGGGGTATAATAGGGATAATGGAAAAGAAAATGGAAACTACTATCGTATAGTAGGGCATGGGCCACTTCCGAATCCTAGGTCACAGGGCGAAGGGGCTTTTGCACAGCACTGTTGCAACTGTAGTTCCCAATCAGTTCATCTCAAACCACGCCCCACGCTGCCCTTCCGCCACAGATGCACAAAGCTAGCCTATGCGGAGGTCACCTATACCTTGTTTGGGTTGCTGTTAAGGAGCTTAATTCAAGTTATTACATTGGGGAAACCATATTAATTACTATATATACCCATTATGGTAACCCTTAAACCTTAACCCCAGATACCCACTATGGTAACTTAATTTAGGTCCCTTAACAGCCACCCATTTGTTTGAGGATTGTTCAAGCTAAGCCTAAAGCCGAAGCAAAGCGCGTACCCTGAAGCAAGCCACGCAACCCATGTCCATGGTATTTATGGAGGTATGGGGCCCAACAATGGAGAACCAAATGTAAAAAAACATGGAAATGACATGGAAACTGGGTTACATAGTGGTTTATGGTATATTATGGTATATTATGGTATATTCTCGCATAGTCTAGTAGATTACAGTATATTATAGTAGGTGGCAGTATATTATAGTATATTATGGTATATTATAGTCTAGTATTTTTGTTACTCCCCATTGTGGTTCGTCTTGCATGTCACCAGGCGTGGTGGACATTTATGAGCAGGGCTGCTGCAACAGATTGTAGGACGCCCAGCACATTGAAAGCCTTTTTGCCAGCTTCACCCTAAACCCTAAACCCTATGGTGAACTTGGAGCCCTAGAAAAGGTTATAATTGTTGCTGTTCCCTAAGAATCTAGCAAGCAAAAAGTTAAAATATTTCCGAGTACCCCTAAGGTTTTGTTAAGGATCCAAGTACCAGAATATGAAGGTCGTAGACGCCGCAAACCACGCAGATTATCATATTATCGCATTGGGGTGTTATTTTAAAGCCCTATGATCGCTAATCATTGGCGGCAAAACGGCTGTGTAGCTAGGACATTTTGCAATTTTGGGATGCCATTATCAGCGCGAGTGGGTGAGCAGCACCGTTGCCGAACATCTGAGGCTGTAATATGACACTGCCCCAGCCAATAACCGGTGGAAGACACTCATGATATTTACCACCCGCAATATTACCCCATCCTTATAACAAGACTGTTGCTGCGTGGTGGCAACACCCGATGTAAGCCTAAACTCGGTCGCAGTTACAGGTTGCGGTTTTGTGGCTGATGCAGGGGCGCAAGTCCTGCATTGAGATCAGACACTTCCCCTCCGCGATCATCCGCGCTTTATGTGAGAGTTTCGGTTCGATTTCTTTGGTGGGAAAACCCTAGAAAGCAAAGCTGCTATGGTCCTTTGCAAAGACCCCAAAGAAGAACCTGATTTTCCAAAGCCAGCCAGTGAAAGCTTCAGCACCATGCGGTTCCTTCTTGAAGTTATTGTATGTCTACTATTGTCTGGCAACCTAGCTGCTCACTCACAGGCCATAAGCAGGCCTTCACCGCGTACGTTCCGTGTGTGATGTGTCGGCATAAGTCCGACTTGATTCCCGCGATTTCTTGGCAACCAACCAGTTCCCATGCGCAGTCCTATAGCTGCTGTGCCAAAGCCGGTTCTGGGCCGCAACCCTGGCAACAAATCACGGGCTACTTCCTCGGGTATGTCACGCTGAGCTCTTTGTTGAAACAGGTAGCCTAGGAAGGCTGTACCCCAATCAGCGGTAAATCATGCTTGAGCTGCTCCAGACTCCAGACCACAGATATTGCAATTGGACGGATGAAAGGGCAGCTCGGAGAGAATCCCAACAACAGGGTTGCGGTGAACATCCAGGCCATAAAAGGCTTGAGCTTTAGCGGTGTGGTCCCTGCAGGAAGCCTGAGGCGGAGCGTGGACTTTCACACATTGTTACATCATAATAGTAGTAGTGGTAGCAGGGTAGCAGTAGTAGCAGCAGTGGCAGTAGGACCTGGAGGGGGGGTTGGGACATTTTACGGTTTAAGGTTTTGGGTTTAGAGTTTACCACAGGGATCCAAGTACACAAATACTACCTACATTGGGCCCTAAATTCTGTAAATGTTACCTACATTGGGTGGGCGCTAAAATTCTGTAAATGTTACCTAAATTGGGCTATTTGGTTGGATCCACAGGGTTATGTCTCAGGGCTGGAGCCCGTACAGGGTTCACAGGTCTCCAGGGTGTACTGTCGAAGTCGGAGCGATTACCAAGCGATTCCTTAGTGTCCTTAAAAGCTTGTAGTGAAGTGTGGTTTAGGGTTTAGGCTTTACGGAAAAGTGCTTCAAAACACTTAACACTGCTCTCAACTGGAGACGCAAGGGTTTTGTGCGGGCCAAATTCTCGGAAATCCAGTGAAGTCACAGGTATGTGCTGCTGGCATACTTGGACCCTCTTGAGGCTTCAAAAATAGGGTGCTTGCCAACTTCCCTTTTATGCCTCGGTTCCAGGGCAAGGCATGACCGCAACACCTGTTCTTGCTACAGCAGGTTGTTACATGCGATCGCTGCAGGTGTTGTGGACGAGGTGCGGATTGATTGAAGTTAACACCACATGCAGAAAACAAGGTGCTGCAGCAAAGCTCTTCATGGACCATGCCTGCATGGGAGTCCTGAGCGGCAGGTTTAGGTTCTAGAGCTCCGTCGGCCCACTGCACATGAATCAAGGTACAGTATATACCCTGAATGAGAGATTCGTGATAGGTTTGAGGTACGCTGTACTTCTCAATTTAGAGGTTCACGGTCTAGGGTTTCGGAAGGATCCACACGCAGGGCCAGACCCAATCATGCTGTGGAAGAAGCACGCAAGAGGCCCGACTTCTGCAGCGTCTTAGAAGCCAACGCGTGCTCGAAAAAGGTGGATATTTCATGATTTTTCAGGTTACCCTTTTCAAGCCAAGATGTAAATCCACACAAGCATTTTGCCAAAAGGGCAGGAGTCTTTGTAGTCCCCGCTGTAGCCTTCCCTGGCAGTTTGTTGAAGGCAGAGATTCAGGGCGTTTTATTCACATTCAGTCCGAGTCTTTTTAATCTGCGCCTTTTTTGATCGTTGTGGATAGCTATCGAAAACACGTAGATACAGCTCTAAACTTGTGAGAGCGGAATGGCATGGCGGTCATCCTCCACACGGGCGTGAGACGGATTCTTTTCGCAAAGTCGGAAGAGTGGCGACAAGATGCACCGCCTGCTACTCTGAAGCCGCAAAAACCCTGAACCCTAAACCCTAACCAGCCACCTCACACCCATCTGCGGTCTTTCCCAAAGCCATAGTAAGCATGAACATATTTTAGGGTCTAGATTGCGCCTCCTTCTTTTTGGAAACTACCCTCTTCCCCTGACATACGCTGCAGGTTGACGCCATTGGTCTGCACGTCTTCAGTTGCTATGCCAACGGGCTGAAGTGGCTGGGCGTTGATGTTCAGGACTAGCCTGCAATTCTATAGCGGGCTGCCAGTCCGAACAGCAAGGTGCCTGATGCTGTATTCAATTATAGCGGATTTGCCAAGAAAGAGAAGGAGAGAGAGAGACAGAGAGAGAGAGAGAGAGAATATCCAGCTTTTGGGACTCTCCCATTCGAAGTGGCGCTTGCCGTTTGCCTGGCTTGCGCATTTTATACGCATGTAAACCCTGCATCATGCACCGACAGGCCAGTGTTGCCTGTCAGTGTGGACCCCTGAGCTGTCGGTCTTACAGGTAAACAGATTCACATGTGGAGTCAGATTAATTGCGGAATCTTACAGTACACTCGCTTGTTGTGAGCTGTGGGGACTTCCGCGAAACGGAGGGCATTGACACCAGTTCGCTAGGCCTAGGATACCCATGCAGTATAGCTGGTCCTTTGCAATCTTGGTGCAACTTGAAAACCGCGAGCCCTGATAGCGTTGATCTGTGAAAGGGCATGCCGCATGCATGCCAGCTCTAGAACCTGCACGCTGCAAACCTTGCCTAAGCCACAGAAACAGAAACCCTAACTCCAGCCGATAAGCTGCGTAGTAATAAATACTTGCGCAAGTGGTTATGCGAGAACCTTTTGGCCGCAAGTGTATACTATATACATACCCTTAATCCTAAACCCTGTGCTATACACCTAGGTGGACCTCTTTGCGTTGTGCCGCCCAGGTATCACCTGGACCGGTATCGCGTCTTCGGCCAGGGCCTCAGCTTTTTTATGGTTCAATGTTTAGGGTTCGTGCCGAGGTGTAGGGCTTGGGGCTGAGAATCTTGCATGACCTCGGTACACCATACTCGCATCATTCTGAAGGTATCTCCCTAGAGAAGCTCAGATATTTTGCGGTGTATATTCAAGACTAGTGGTGCGGGGTGTTTACAAAGCATTTAGGGGAGCATTAGTGGTTGGTGAGTAATTAGTTGTCATTGGTATGAGTGTTGTATGATTCGCCTTCTGCTCCCAAGGCCGGGTTCGTAATATGTAGAGTTCCCGAAGCGGACAAACGGTTCAAGTACTTCGGAAGTACATGAGATGGGTTTTTAGTTTGGCATCGCCCGAGCAGGATACGTTCGAATCGATGTAATTGCCCTCAACACTGCCTGAGAAACCATAAGCTCAATGAGACCATACCATAAGAGCGGTGACAGAACTCCGGTACTTCCTAGTCAGAACGCGCGGGTGGCTCGAAGATTGGAATGCGCACAGTTCAGGTGAAGGACATGTGATGAAAAGGAGAGGGCTTCCGCAGGCGCTCTTCAAGGTCCTTTTCTGTAGAGAGCGGAA